TTAACATAAAAATTTTTATTTTCCTATTTATTTAATTTTAACCATTAATTTAATTATTTTGTTATTAGACCATTTGCGCATATAATTTTCCTACAGGATACACACATCATATTAATTTGTCATGCCATTTTTCACTTTTTCGTCGCAAGCAACAAATAACAGTCAGCTGTCGGCAACGTTTAGTTTGCTCCTCACGCTCTTCAATGTTTTTTATTACCTTCATTTTGCTTGTTTCCTTAAAATTGCTTTTTTTTTTACTTAAAAACACATTTATTTCTGTAAATGTGTGTGTTTGCGCGTGCAAATATAATTGTTTCGCGATACTATATGTAATATTTATGCATTGCCAGCAAGTGTTTTTGTTAGTTCCTTAAACATTTATTAAGCGCAACCGAATTTCGGTGAAATGCAAACGAAAGAGAACAAGCAAAAAACACTGCGGTGCAATAATAAATAATAATGACTATGCCGATGTAAAAACAATGCACATGCCTCGGCAGCAAAGGCAGCAATATTGACGGCGACTGCAAACGCCGCTGCTGCTGCGACAAGGAAGAATATTCGAACGCGTTGAAATAATAAGTTTAGTGTGCCGTTGGGGACAACAATAATAAGTTCGACAAAATTCGAAATCGCGTAACTTAATTTTAACTGCAGCTGTGAATTTATTTGTTAATTTTTTTATGATTGGCGAAGTAGCTAACGAACTTGCAATTTGATTAACACACCACACACAATACGAACCAGTGCGCGTATGCATTGAAGTAATCGAAAAATTATTATTTCTTTTTTTTTTCGAAAATATGTAAAATAATTGAAAAGTGTTAAAGGCTGTGCAAATTAAAATTTACGTGCTGTGTAATTATTAGAAAATATTAATAGTGTGAAAATGGAAAGCATTTTCGAATTCGTAATTGATTAAATCAAATTTAAATTAAGTCATAATAATAATAAAAAAGAAACTAAAAATCATTAATAATCAAATAATAACTACTATTCTCAGTGTAATTTAATAATAATTAACATAAAAAGTGAATATATTACTTTATTAAATTAAAAAAAAAAACCAAAAAATTCGTATTAATTGATAAAAATACAAGTTGAATGAGTCAGTATTATTGGCAAGCAGGTAAAGAGTGTTCACACTTGAAGCTGGATTCCTTTAGCATTCATACAATGGATCTGAAAAAGTATTATCAGCGTCCTCAGCCACAAAAACTTAATCATCAACAACAAACGAAGGAAACAATCAGTAGAATGGAGCTTCGCGCATATAACTCGCTGAAACGTCCACTTACTATAAATACAGGTAAATAATTGAAATAATTGTACTTACAAAGTCTAAATTCTCAAGTTCCAAAACAAAATACCAATGTACATTGTTACAAACAAGCACCCAGAAATTGTAATTCCCCGTGTAAACGATATTTCAATGCATTTTGCTATGTTGGTAGAACTGTGCTGAGTTACTAGGCCAAATATGAGCGCGAACTATCAGCTAGTTTGTTTACAGGAGCTGCTTAAGTCGGTGCACCCCAGTTTTGACAATGAATAAAAATATCGAACCAAGATTTCGTCTCATATTTTGTATTTCTAACCATATTTCGTGTGCGGAATCGTTGCGAAAGTTGAAAAAGGCTTACGATGATTCAAAAGCACAAGCCTACGAGTGGTACAAAGGCTTCAAAGACGGTCGAGAGAACGTTGAAGACATGCCTGCTTCTGGACGACCTTCAGCCTCTTCAACTGATGAAAATATTAAACCAGTGAGAAATATGGTGCTTGAAAATCGTCATGAGAAGTGCATACATTTTTATTGTATACATGCGAAGAACTAAATATGTACATACATATATATTTTTTATTTTTGAAATGGAACTCTCACCTTTAGACATTGCTAATCCTTATGCATATAAGCAAATACATGTCTCTGCTCTGGGCATTCGCCGTCTGCATGTCTTAAATAGCAGCGGTTTGCATAATATAGGCAGATATTTGTGAATTCCAAGTATAATACATATTTTCTAAATACAATGTTATTAGAATACATATTCACATGTACATACACATGTATGGCTAAATTGCAATCACAGCCAAACACTTTACATAGACGTAGGGCCGGAAATATGTAAATATGTATTGGTTATAATATAGTTAAAAGTGCGGAAGTAGTTTTCGTAAATAGAGAGCAACTCTTGAGACCCACTTGCATTCAGAAAAATTAACTGTAAGATGTGATTAGCAGACTGAAGTAATTATACTAAATAACCCTTAGAAGAGGTGAAACTCAAGTGGGGGTTAAACACATGAAGACCAGAGGCTCATATTAGGTTACATTGTTGTGCATGTTAATGTATGGAAAGTCCCGAAGTCGGATCTAACAGATACAATTTAGTAGAAATATACTGTTTGTCAACTCTTTAAAATTATTAATTGAAATTCTTCTTCTTCTTCCTTTTTTTTTTGCGTAAACAGTGCTTACGCGGTTATAGCCGCGTTTAAGACTCTTATCCGAAGCTGTTTGGTTGGTTTCATTGGGGTTGTTTTTTACGTATCGGGTCCCAAACCCAGCTCAGAACTCAGGGAAGGAATGTTTCGCTTTCTCACTGTAGTTCGCCTTCAAACGGATGTTTTTTGGATAAGACTGGATGTCGTGAGTTGCTTGAACCATGTCTTAAAGAATCGTTCCTGACCACTCCCAAGTGAATTGCGCTCAGAGAACTTTCCTCCACACATGGCCCAAATCCTCCGTTAAATTAGGTGGTAATAATTTCCTGTACGTATTCTAGTCCCCTACTGATTTTCGTTATATTGGTGAATCATAGGGTATCAAGTAGGTCAAATTATTGAAATCGCTACGGAGATTGGTCCAGGCTCCATAAACCAATTTATAGAATTTCGGCTCTCTCTTCTCTTTACTATTGCCAAGACAATAGCGGTTGTTGTTGTTATAGCGGTATTTCTCTGGGTTGCGCAATATTCAAACGCGGGTAACTCTTTGTAAAATGTCTTGCCAAAAAATCACAACGAATATTTTCACTCACGTGTTCATAAATTATTCACAGTGTAGACGATCTGTAATCATTTGTTTGCTTTATACCACTCTGTACCGTTTCACAGGCTTACCATATTTCATATCATTACAGAAGCTAAAGTAACAGTAAACTGGGCAGCCCCGATTAATAAAAGTTATAACTTTGATTAATGAATTTTTTAAATATAATAATTTAATAAACTCATTACTGCGCTGACATGTTTATGAAATATCTTTTTCGCCAAAATATGGAAACATTGGAATAAACATTTTAAAGCTTCTGGTAAGGCTGCACACAGCTGTCGTTTTTATTCCCACCCGTTCCGCTGTTTATCACTTTGTTGTTGTGCGAAAATTTGCTGTTATTTTGGGGCTATTTGTAGGGCGAATTGGGAGCTCGTATATTGCTTTGGCCAGTCGTCGATAAATTCCGTTAGTGTCAACAAGTGGGAAATGCGTGTGTGATGTCGAGCGCATAAAAATAAAAATTGCATTTTAAGTGAAAAGAAAGAGAAAAAATTACATGAACGTTGCAGTTTTCAGTACGTTTACAGCGAACGGGTCACCTATATAAAAAGGGCATTGCTCTTTCCTGATGTGCTCTCCAAGAATTTTCAGCGCAAGTTGCAGCAATTTTCTTACTTCACAGTAATAATACGTTTAAATGACCTTTGTTTTACATTAATTGACTCAGTTGATTAATACATTCGGCGAAAAAGTACGTAATTTTAAATAAAGAAATTCAAAAGCAAAAACGAAAAGTAAAAAGAATATTTGTGATTTCTTGGCACGCAACAATAACGACACCGGTGAGGCGAGGTTTTGTGAAAAAAATTATATTAGTTGTGTTGTTGGATAAAAACGAAGACAGTGTGTAATAAAATTTGAATATGTGAAATTCGAACGATGTGAAAAGCAAATATATACCAACAAGAAAAAAGAAAAATTGGCTGGTGTTGTAGTCTGCGTTATCCCCCGTTAGACAGATACCCCAATTGCGGCTAAAGGCATCGAGCACCGACGTTTCACTTTTGCCAAAGAGTTTGATGAACAGTGGCATATGTTCTGGCCGTTTATTTGAGAGAAATCAGTGAATACGTGCTTTGAGTCTCATGATAATTTTTTGGTCACGGTTTTTGTGACGGGAAGTGTGGTCCCTAAAAATAAAACATTTTCGTTAAATTTAATAAATCACATATGTATGTGGTGTATTTAATTTAAAATTTTGTTTTGAAATATCCTTTTTTTCTAATCTTTCTTTCACCCAATGTGCGCGCTAGAGTAAAATGTATGTATGTAACCACCAACCGCAATTCAATATTTATTTAGAGCTTTAATTATTCACATCATGCACATTAAGATATCAGCTTCATTTTTTAAACCTTGGTAGTAAACCAATGTGAAATTGTACCTATACCCTTCTATATATTATTTATAACTGCTGTTTGGCCTCTAATTATTGTTTTTATTTATTATGTGCCCAAAAACTACCCACTTAGTAGGCACGACGTTGTCTGCTCCAGTGTCAAACTCATGTATTATGTAAACGTCAGTGCGCCAAGTCAATTAAATATATATGTATGTACATATGTATGTATATACTTACATGCATACATTCGTATATTCATGTATGTACATACATATATTCATGTTTACTTTACCACTAGTCAAAACAATCGATATCACTACTGTGACCCATAAAAAGTAAACAAAAACTACAAGTCAGCTGTTCCAAAAAGTGTACTACTGAAATCACAAGCAAAACACACATTAAAAGTGTTAATATAATTATACTTAATATCTATAAAATACAAGTGAAATTATAGTCGACACATGGATGACGAGTTGGAGGATAAAGTCTTTTATCAAGCATACGTTTCCCATATGAAGATTCTATCGAAATTCGCTGTGGGCTTTTCGTCCATCAATTCGCCTTTGGCGTACATATGGAAATTATGTCGCCTCTATCTGCTACGACCCGAAGTGATACTTTTCGGAGTGATTATTTTTATTTTCTTAATTTACTTACAAGCTGTTGATGCCTGGAGTCGTGGTCTATTGGGGCGAATACAAACCACACTTGGTCGTCAGAAGGCAAATCGCCTGAAGTTGACAAGTGAGGCAAGCGGTCAGGGTGATTATCAATGTTGGGAAGAGGTGCGTCAACAAAGTGCCGTTTATGCGTTACTCGGACGAAGACCACGTATGGAAGACAGGTGAGTGACAAAATAAAGAGCAAAACGAAATTAAAACCAAATTTGATATGTTTGCACGTTTTGTCATATGTACATAATTATGCAGGTATGAGCTATAATGTATTCCATACACAGATTTTCACCCAAAAATGTCTGCATTAATTAACACATACTTATCTACATACATATGTATATGTCAAATGAACACAATGCATGTAGGTCAAGGACTTTCTACGCATTAAAGCAAGCAAATCTTTTTTATAAAAAACAGTCATTGGTAGTGAGATTATAGTAGTTATTGGAGTACATAAAAGCGTTAAATAAAATGTTTGCTTTATTTATTATACATTTCAAATTTAAGCTCATCAATCAATCAGCACTCGTATCTACATTACAATAATTACTTATTATTGGGCAATAACAAAATATGTAATTACGTTCACAATGTAACGTTTAAAAATTTGTATAACAAACAAATATACATAAACGCTTCAATGTTTTTTGCACAATCGCTTCGTTACAGAATATTAGGTAATTCTTACATATTATATATTAGGAAATACATGAATAGAAATTAATGTAAACGCACGTCGCGTTAGCGATAGTAAATCACTGATAAGATGTTGATAAGCATACATAAATAATCATAAAAGTGTCCATAAATCGATTTAACCTTCCACTCTAAACAATTTGCTAAAAGTTTCTTTAGTCGGCTGATCGCTTTAGATTTCCTAATCTCTTTTAAGTTATGAAATGTGCTAAGTTAGCAAAATGTGAGAGTTCATTGCGCTAAATACATGCGCACATACTTACATACATCCATACATACATGTATGTATATGTAGAACACGCGCAGCTGAATTGTAATAAATTCTATCATGTGTGCAAGCTTAAAGAAATGCTTGTATCTATGCATGTAGTTTTGTATTTATAGATCTTGCGCTTATTTTTATTGAAATACACACTCTTATACGCATACTTATGTGCATTTAATGTGTGTACATATGTGAACGTTTTTATATATAAGCTTGCAGTTAATTCAGATTGACGCAAAAAGCGGCGCTGGCCCAGCGCCTTGCTACACCATTTACCTATGTATATATGTACATAGTTGCATACATATTGTTGCATATATTATTGCATTTTCATTTATTATATCGCACTGTGAGATGTAAACCCATCATATAAAATAAATCAACCTTACTAGTTGATTTTTAACAAATAGCATTCGAGGAATATAAATTGAATCGAAAAATAAATAAAGGCAAAAACATACTGGAAAATTATATTATGGTTTGTTCGTTCAGTAATTTAGTTTTTTTTTTGTTTTGCTACAATTTAAGCACGTTTTTATTATTTTTATTTTGTAAAACATTTTATGAAGCTATATATTTTTCATTTTGATGCAATACCTTTTTCATTTTGATGCAATACCTTTTTCCATTTTTCGACCGAAAGATTGACGCCGCGCTCATGAAAGTTTTTATCCTTACAGTCAAAAAACTGGTCTAAGTGGTTTTTGCCGTCCTGGTGACCTCTTCTGTTTAAGTGCAACACACAATTTGTGTGACTGATCAGAATGCACTTTATTGTAGGCCAAAAAGCCTATAATTAATGATCACTTTGAAATCCCTCCAAAGAGACCACAGACTTTTTTGTATGACTATCGGCAATCGAAGTGATTTCAGCTGGTTCATCCATTTTTGAGCATGATTATTTGCGATTTACAGACTTGTAAACAAGCTATTTACAAAACGTAACAAAACATTTCAAAAATGGAGTACTTATTTACTGTTTGATAAACAAATCACAGTCGTTAATGCGACGACGCAAATTTCGAATATAAGCCGGAGGCGAATATGTAATCCTTCCCAATTAATCCTAGAGGTTTCATGTGATTTTCTTATATTAAATGTTGCTGTGTTATTTACTTCTTATCTATATGGGAAATCAAAATTCATAAAGCATCACCTGTTAGCATTAACCTTTGTTGTTATTACTATTTAGAGTTCCTACTTTAGCAAAATATTTTTGTTTCGTCATTTGGGACGATATTTTCAGGGTATCTGAGCAAAATTAAAAAAAAATTTACCCATCCTAATGTATATATGTATATAAAGATGTGCGCTAATGCACTGCTAGATTTTATTTTTTTATATAAAAATATATACATACTATATACTATACATATACATATATATTGTATAGAAGTGTACAAAGGTATAAATGTATGTAAGTATGTATTCTTTCGTTGCTATCTTGGCAACTTTGCGGTTTAATTCAGTCTTCTTACTTACTCAATATCATTGCGATACTTTGGTTTAGATATTTGATACAAAAACATATAACATATACTATTACTTGGTGCCACCACATATTCACCCAAAAAATTGCAATCGCCGAAATAAGTTACAACCGCTAAAAATAAACATACTTATAATGAACACATTTTGTCGATTAATTTTTTCAAAGTCTCTGAACAAAGTTGTATTCAGCTGTCTTACAAATGTTTTAGCAAAATCATTTCAAAATTCATACGTAAAAAGTTTCAAGAAACGTATAATTAACAATAAACACTAATATAATATTCAATGAGAGAGTATGGAGTCTACATATGTAGGTATATGTAAATGTAAATTACTTGACGTCAACAATAAAAAAACAATACATAAATTCATATAAATAATGACAACCGCTAATGGTTTCCAGTAAGATTCCATTAATTATTGCAACACAGTTCAAGTATCAACATATTAAATGATGCATGATAGGGTAGAACAGGTGTTCACAGATTTCTTTAGATATTTTACACAAAAATCCTGAAAGCTACAAATAATATTCAATATTTCGTTTTTGTCCTAAGATCCGGTGAATCTGTCGACAGCTTCCTGGCTTTGAAAACAATCCGTGAGTGATCTATTCGTTTTCAATTTTCTGAAGAAGCCAGTCGGAAAGCTTTTTGAATTTCAAACTCCTGTGACCTTTTACCCTGCTCTTGCGAGTTAAAATACCATATTTTGAAAGCAATAGTAATTATTTGTGTTAAAAAATTTAACTGATTCAAATTAGTTAAAGATAAATAAATATTTACCATATGGCTCTGACCACTTTTTTTCATGCCCAATGAATCCCACCCATCTTACACCCCCTACCTAAAGATCCGACACAGTATGCCACCCAATCAAGGTGGCCTAAAGGTCGACAACAGCAAAAACACCAGATAAAGTAATGACGTAATAAAGTAATGTATTATCGAAAATCGAGTATAATTACGACATTTAAATTGCATGTTTCTAGATTAATATCAAATAAAATTATGAAAAAAGTGCAATTAAAACATTAACTTCGACCGCACCGAAGCTTAAATGCCCTTCACAAATAAAAAAAAAAAACTGCTACATACCAAAACATTTTGATATCTCAGTTTGTTTGGCAGCTATATGGTACAGCGGTCCGATTTAAAGATTCGTTTGGAAATTGTACCCTTGCCGTGGTAAATAATCCATTGCGAATTTCGTAAAGATCGAAAATCTTGTGAAATACAGCGAATTTGTCAGCCGTTCCGACAAATGAGTAGCTTCTTAAAGGAAAAAATTTAAACAAAATTCCACGTCATATTTCAAAAACTGAAGGACTAGTTCGCTCATGTACTGATAGGCGAAGGACATGGCTAAATTAACTCAGTTCATCACGCGGATCATTTATATAAATGTATTTTATAGGGTCCCCATTTCTTCAGAGTGTTACATACTTCATGGTAAAATTATTTTTCTCTGAGCAGGGTATAAAAGATATATATTTATCTTTTACTTACGTAAATCGGAATAAATCATGTTGCCTAGAATAAAATCCCAAGTAATTAACGAACTACGCTTAGTTACTCTACTTATACATATCTTACATAAAACATACATACCGTGTGGCAATCTACTCGTGTTTTCCCCATCACCGTTATCGATTACCGTTTTTCGTGCTCTTATCATTTCAATTCAGTCTGAGGAAATAAAGGAACTTTCATCCTTCCATGTATTTGTTTTTTTCTATTTGTATTCGCGGATTACAAATAATATTCATTATATAGTCAGATATTATCATTTCCCCTCACTAATTACCATGTAGTTCATTTCAATTCAGTGAAGGGGAAAAATATTTAAACGCCAGCAATAGCACTTCAATTCTCTGAAAATACTAGAACGTGTATATAAAACCCGATTAGCGACCGAAACTGCTGATTATTTATTGATGATAACTTGAAACATTCCTGGAAATGAGTTGTTTAAGAAAAAAAAAAAATTGCAGTGAATAGTTTAATTAAAAAATATATTTGATTTGAAATTATTATTATTGAATATTTATCATTAGATGTGGATTTTCCATCACTTTTACGCCCTTTATATGTTTATTTGTCTATTGGCTAGAAGTATAATATAGGGTAGTCGAAAAAGTATTTTCTTATTTCTAATCAAACTTCAACTTATTTGTTTTTATATTTATAATGATCTTTTATGATCCAAACATATACAATTTTGGTCGACCACTGCTTGCCATTATTCCATCGATGAAAAGTTGCGACAAGTACTTCTCTTGAAGCCAACTTTACTCCATTAAGGGAGTTCTGCATTGACCGAAACAAATGATAGTCCGATGGTGCACACGCCTTATGAGCAGTCAATCCCGGCTTTGCGACCATTTGTTGGACCATGATCTTTTGCGCACATTATTGTCGTATTTGGTCCGACTTTTGTCTCCTGTTACGATTCGTTTCAGAAATGGTTCGATTTCATTTTGTTTCAGTATAGAATGGCAGGTCTTAAATTTTTCGGTCCATTAAATTTTTCACAGATAATTCAAGTGGTACCCAAACATCTAGCTTCTTTTTGTAACCAGCCTTTTTTTAAATTGTTCAAAACCGTTTGATGATGAATGTTAAGTTCCTTAGCGATACCATAGCTGCTTATGTGACGGTCCTGGTCAATCTTATCCATAATTTTATCAATTTTCTCAACGATAGGTCGACTAGAGCGAGGTGCATCTTTCACATTGAAATTTCCACAATAGAAGCGAGCGAACCATTGTTGTGTTACACGAACTGTTACAGCACTTCACAAATTTCATTGGTGGCTTGCGTGACATTCTTACCTTTTTTATACAATAATTTCAAAATATAGCGCATTTCTTTATTATTTTCACTCATTTTGGAGTTTTTTTTTTAAACTTCCCCGAATTTAATTTGTAAATGAAGCTTAAAATCTCACCTTTCCAACACCGATGATATGACACAATGTAATTGGTGACTCTGTAGATATACGACTGCAACGACATCTATTGACAAAATACGAAAAAACTTTTTCCACTACCCATAAATTGCTACAAAATCGTATACTATAAATCCTCTAGATAATCATAAACAAAACTAATTTCTGTTGCAAACATTTTAAACTACATTTAATTTATTTTCTGTAAATTAAACTGAATTTATTTAATTTTCTTTTGGCTAATGTAAATAATAATATTTTCATTTAAATAAACGTCAGAATAATTTTATGTAAAATTCTTCATGAAATTAACATTGACTTTCACTAGATGCACAGCCATATATTCTCAAATAGTATCTATGTCATACACATACATACATATGTATGTACATACACACATATATTTTTATATTGTAATATATAAAATAATAAATGTTAATGTTTCTTTTGAAGCTTCATATACACATATAAATGTACACATTAATATTGGGGCATAATACATATAATATATATGTACATATGTATGTAAGCACACACGCCCACTAATTTTCTATAATGTCGCAAATGACAGCAGCGGCATTCTTCGTCACCACTTTCACGCCACAAAACGACATTTTTCGAATATCACACTTTTCATATTCGTATGGAGAACATTTTTCAACATTTTCACGTATTCTGCTTTTCTGCCACACGAAAATATAAAATCCACAGAAGTAGACGAAGAAATAACAAAAAATAGAAATAAAATCAAATTTGAGCTTTTAATTTTGTATTTGTTTTTTTGGCGCAATAAATTTTATTAATATTTCTTCGGTATGCTTAGTATATAATTTTTCTATTATTAATTTAGCTGCAGGGCACTTGTTTTTCTTACTTTTTTAAATTATTCTTAAACATGAAGTATTTTTAAATTTAGCTTTTTATGTTTTCATTATACTATATATACGCATTTTTATAATTTTTTCATTATGTGATTTTCTTTCATTTTATTGCCCCACATTTTTATTTATATTTTTAATAATATTTGTGTATCCATTTGCCATCATTACATATGCTGCTTAATGAATTTAAGTATTTTTTCTTTTTTTTCTTTTGAATATATTCTATACCTTTCACTTGCAATTAATTAAGTACGCCGAAAGAATTATGTTCAGTAAACAAAAGTTTTTTCTTCGCCTTTATGTGCTACATACATAATGCATACCAGATTGTCTTTAATATGTATATATGTATAATATTTATATATGTACATATGTGACTAAAAATAACTGAGCGGCTGAAAAGCTTATAACCTTTTAGAGAAAAACAATTTTTTTATCGAAAGAACCGTTTTGTTATTCAACAATCGATGGCAATATATGTATGTATGTATTATAGTGCTTTTTCAACTTCTCGCTCGCTTTATTGTAAGGCAGACGTGAATAATCTCAGTTCAGCAATCCCATTCCTACCAAGATTTTATTAAGGTCTGACAACAGGAAAAAGTAGCTAGGAGCTATATTTTTTTTTAAATACCAAAACTTGCATTACTCGAATTTTGATTATACTTAAATCTTTGGAAGATTAGGTCGAAATAAAATTGGAAGCATATAAATTCTAGTGGCCGCTTTGAACAAACTATTCATTTTGCCTAGTAATTTGCCCGCAATGATTCTGTTTTTACCCTGGTTGTTGCCAATTAATTCTTTGAGAATTATCTCTCTCTTATAGAGATTGTACTTATAGTATAGTACCGGCGGATACTGAGTCGAATACGCTCAGAGCGGAAGAGTTTTCATCCATTCGGATGACATGACCTAACCATCGTTTCTTAATTCGCTCTTATTATTGCTGTCTCTTAATTCGCTGAACTATGTCAATGCCGTCATAAATCTTGTACAGCTCATCGTTCCTTCGACTGCGGTATTCGTCGTTGCCAATGCGCAAAGGACCATAAATCTTCCGCAGAAACTTTCTCTCGAAAACTCGTAACGTCGACTCATCAGACGTTGTCAACGTCCATGCCTCTGTACTAAATAGCAGGACGGGATGATGAGTGAATTCTAGATTTTGGTCTTTGTTTGTCGAGTGGAGACTTTACTTCTCAATTGCCTACTCAGTTCGATGAAGCACCTGTTGGCAAGAGATATTCTTCGTTGGATTTCGATGCTCACGTTGTTGTTAATGCTGGTTCCAAGATAGGCGAAATTATCTACGACTTCGAAGTTATTACTATCAACAGTGTCATGGGACCCAAGTCGCGAATGTGACTACAGTTTGTTTGATGACAGGAGATATTTCGTCTTGCCCCTCGTTCACTACCAGACCCATTTGTCTTGTGTCTTTGTTCAATGTTAATGATATCGATGTCATCGGCATACGCCAGCAGTTCTACACTCGTGTAGAAGATTGTACCTTCTCTATTCAGTTCTGCAGCTCGAATTATCGAACGGCTCGGATAGGTCCTTTCCAATCCTGACAGGGCTTTTGATATTGCTCATTGTCAGTATACACAGCCTTATAAGTTTTGCGGGGATACAAAATTCAGACATAGCGGCATAAAGGCAGAAGGTGGCGTGTGCCAATTTTCTTTTCATGGGTCTTTTTCCATGATTTGGCGCATTGTGAATATCTGAGCAGTTGTTGATTTTCCAGGTCTGAAGTCTGAAGCCGTAAAATCAAACATTACTTCACTCAAGAGGTTTTTTTTTTATCATAGACAAACTCTGATCTTTAGGAAATTCAAACATTAGGTATGAAAAAGAAGCTTAAAAAAATTTTTGGATTAGCTCTGACGTAAACAGAAAAGTCTGCAAAGCTTCCGCTCAATTCCCACGGTGTTTATCAAGTTTTTTTTCTATTAACATATGTACTAAGTTATGCATACATATATACATATGTATGTATTTTTAATAAACATAGAAAAATTTTAATCCCTTCTATGGTTCAAGTTCATGTCCGCACGCGTTAATATTATGTTTTAGCACACAAAGTTAATTTTGTATATTCGAATTATTGATTTGAAATTACAACATTCTGCCAGAAAACTTCCATTGATGACAAAAAAATTTTTGGTCACGCTTAGTTATCAACTTTCGTCGAAAGTCGAAATCATCATTCTCGGTAAGCGTGCGCTTTTGATTTTAAAACTCATTTATTAATGAAATGCCTTGCCTTTGTCATGCAAGGCGTGATTTTGCGAATCTCCGTCTCATTGTTTATATTTTAATGACAGCATTGCTTCTTTGTTTTGTTTTCGATGCTTCGCCATGCGCAATTATTTTATTGAAGGCTGATTTTCGCATGTACATCTGCTAATATTTCACTTAGCCTTAGCTGGAAATTTTAATTGTTAACTGGAAATTTTTAATCGTCAACAAATTGATGTAAACATTTCCAACCATCGCTACCTTATTCCATCAGTCCGTTACATACCGCGGGCATATTGGTAATTTCTACGATATGTAATATGTGAGTATATATACATATTAATATAAATACCGGCACCTGTCTAAGAATATCTCTCTGAACTTTTTGAGAATTGTCGAGATCTATAAAATATGTGGTCGCCCACTCAACACATTTACCAGATATTGAATGGAATTATGGGGCACACCTAGTATGAAAATATTTGTAAATAGTTTTCTTCCGGAAAGTAATAGGACTAAGACGATGTAGAAAAATTTATTGAATCAATCGTTACCATTCTTTAAAAACTTTCAAAATATGCTTCTCCTGGGTCGATGCAGCGCTGTCAGCGCGATTTCCAAGCATTGAAGGCATCACGGAAGGCATTCTCCGGAATAGCCTCGAGAGTCGAAGTGCATGCACTTGGATCTCCGCTATCGTCTCAAAAGAAAGGTGATGTCTTGTCGGACTCGATTGACCCTTCATTTGAGTCTCTTGAGGACTTCCACGTAAAACTTGGCGTTGACGGTTTGTCCAGGAAGAACAAATTCGTGGTGAACGATGCCTTTGATGTCAAAGAAGACAATGAGCATCGTTTTCTCTTTGGATTTGCTAATTCTTCGATGTTTAGATTTTCCTTTAATGACAACAAAGTAAAACTGTCAAATTTTCTTTTGTACATGGCGTCAGAACCTATTATTTTTCTGTCAGATACAATCCAAAAAATAGTAATTACTTTCCGAAAATTCTAAACTACCCTCATAAATCCTTGATTATTTTAATTTAGTCGCTTGCCTGCTTTCGTCTTTTATTTCGCTTTCAAGTAATTTATTATAATTATTATGCACTTTTTTWTTTTTATAAGTAGTAATAATAGCAGCTATCATCTCCTCATCAGCTTATGGGGTATGTCAGTTGGACTTGGACATAGTAAACAAAAATTTCAAAACAAGTATGCCATTAGCTAATTACTGCACACAACAAAAAACAGTGTACGTGCCTGGGGGGGCGTCAGCGTCGCACCACTCTACTTTTCACTTTTACTTTAATATTGAAGGCGCCGCGACCACATGGCTTCATTCATAACGAAATCCACACAATCCATACGAAACAAAGGCACAAACGTTCAACTCGTGCCAAATACTACTTGTAAGAAATCTATACATTCTATTACATATAGAATACTTATATACCCACTAGCGACCAGCAACACACTCATTACTCAACAAATAATCCGCGAAAGATTTTCTGTTTCTATTTTCATTCATTTCTGTTTCCATTATCAATCAACCACCTGTTCTTACGCTTCAGAATATTTAATGATTTACTTTTTGTTTTTGTTTCTTCACACTTTGCAGATACATCATCGAAGAGAATATCAATAATAATACAGGTATCTCGTTTTTTGCCATCTTCGATGGTCACGGCGGTGAATTTGCGGTAGATTTTGCGAAAGATATTTTAGTGAAAAATATTTACAATAAAATTATCGCAACAACAAAGCTGCTGGGCAATCAACAACACCTGTCCGAAAGCAATAAAAAAGCAGCACTCGATGCTGATTACGCGGAATATGACGCGAGTCCATACCTGAAGCGGAAGGCAAGCCGTAAAGATGAAAGCAATAAGGAGAATAATGAGCCGTCAGTGCGGCGACGAGACAGTCTGCGCAAGGCACACAGGTGAGTTTACTAATATGCTTACTACTTGTATATGTGTATATATAAATATGGTATATGTGATACTTAATGTAAATAGGAGAGGTCACAGGTTAGTTACTCGACGCTTTAGTAATATGCAATTAGCCGCAGACTGGCTGCCCTTGAAATGTACTATATATAAATAAATTTATAAGCCTGTATCAAATGTTTGTCGGTCCAAAAAAAAATGAATTTTGTCCCTTCTTTTTTTTTTTGTTTTTGGTAGCGATAACACACGTTCCTCAAAGAAGTTCGTTAATGTAGCGCAGTTGATAATAATTGGTGGAATATAAATCCGAGTGTGTGTCGATTACAAAAGACCTACTGTCTTGGGGAATGGTTTCTGAGTTCCGCTTTCTGTTCGCTTTATTGTTGAAACTATAACGCAGGCCTAAATCCACACTGATAAGGTCCAATCAGTTTGTTGTGGGTTTTAATCATTCATACAATACTCGCTCGATATAACCTTATACGCGATGTTGAGGAGGCTTATCCCGAGGTAGTTGGTGCAAATTGTGGGGTTTTCCTTTTTATGGATTGGGCAGATCAAAAATCAAAGTTATGCTAACAGTCGCTTTTCGAGGTGTAATGCACTTTGAATTCCATCCCACTGGCCAAACTGTCTATTGAGCGGTATGCATCGTAATAAGAAGAGGGAATTATGGGCCGACATCTCTTGGTTTTTGCACCACGCACGATAATGCACCTTCACATACTGCATTGATTCTTCGTATAGTTTTAGCCAAATTTGCAACCATGGTGTTCGCCTGATTAAGCTACGTGTGACTTCTGACTGTTTAGAAAATTCAAACGACCGCTTCCGGGAAACCGTTTTGAGTCAACTGAAGACATTAAATGTGAATCGCTATCGTTTCGAGGAATGGAAAAGAATTTGACAACTGTTTTGGGACCAAGAGAGATTATTTTGAGGGGGACGACATAAATTATAAAGAATAAATAAAGACTTTTAAATGTTTTACTATTTTTTGTTAAAAAAAAATTGGTGAAAATATAACTCAAATAAAATTAAACTCAATTAAACAATTATCAATTATTATTTTTTTTTTTTTTATATATTGCACCTRTTTTATGATAGTGGCTACAATTCTGTGTTCGTTTGTGTACGAAATTGTCGTTCTGGAACAAAAATATCGCCGGAAATTCATTGTACGTTTTGTGTTAAAAGAAAATATTTCTCCTTTAATTTCCAATTTGACAATGTACGCAGATTTAATTAACACATGTTTTCCCACTCGCAAAGGAAAAATGAAAAAGTACCTCCGAAGTAAACACATCAAATTGAATGGTCAAAGGAATAATAATAAATCAGGGCAATACAATTTCGCTGGCATAAGAAAACAAACAAACTCAAGATGCGCAAAAACGCCAAGATAAGTTGGAATTAAATATGTATGAGTTCAAAAAATAAAATAAAATTAAAATAAAACTTTTGCGAATAACAATTGACACGCTTGAAAGCGTCACGCCCTCGCCAGTGCTCTCGACGGCCGACCGAAATAAACGCGCTAAATGTATTTAAATGCAAAAATCAAAACACATGGCGGCAAGACGATACGACCCTCCTGCGGACCGATAAACTCGTGGAAGCATATCGCACAAACATACATATATAATGCATAAGATATAGTATCTATTCAGATATCCGCTAGAATTGCGAGCCAACGCACGGCATTGTCTATGTTATTGTTTTGCGTTATATATTAAAAAGTATACTATATATTGAGTCGTGTGCATATTTATTAGTGTATATGTATGCCGAAATCTTCTTATACACTTTCCTTTTCTTTGTTGTGTTTTACTACGATTTTTGCAAAACAGAGCCTGGTAAATTTGCGATGTAGTCTATTTTGCAAATGCAACCCCATCAAAATCGTAGTCGTAGAATATAATGCCAAATTTGCATTGTAAATGGTTAGTTGGAATTTTTAAGCTTAAATCTTATGAGATTACCGTGATTTTCATAGAATTTAAAACTACATAATTCGATTTGCCTTTATTACAGCCTTGAACGTCATGTCTCAATCTACTGTGGCCCATTTTTGTTAGATTCAAGCCGGTATGCTTTCAAGTACACGCCACAACGCCTATAAATATGCATTTAAAATTCAATAATTCGTTTTGTAATGTTAAAAAATATAACTGGTGGGACCATTGCTGAAGATGGTGAGACTGAGAAAAAACATAAATTTCTATCTAAACGAGTCTTCTTATAAATTTATAATTTAAAAACAAGACGTGGGCTTATAAAGACCATACTGTCCATTAAATTTTGCATCTTTTTTCAGCCTTATTCCGACTATGAAATGGTTTCCAACTGGTCGAATGTAGCTTTTCTTATCAGCACAGACCATTGACTTAACGTAACCACTTACAAAGTAGCTTACTGGAGTTCAGCACAAACTAATTCGTGACTTACTCACAATTTTTAAATATTGTACGCTGAAATTAAATATTTTATTAGGTAGTTAAGTTAATAGTTGCCATATACAACAATTGATCTTAAACCATGCGAGAAAAAAACACGCGCATAAAAATATTTACTATTTTAACAAACGAGGTGTGATAAATTTTCAAATATTTAAGTACTGAAATTGAGTTGAGAAGCTTTTTTAGTGGCAGTGTTAATACAAAAAAAGTTTTTTTTTAGTATTCATCTCATATGTCGAAATAATTAGCAAATCCTGTAAGAAATTATGTAATTTATGCTCCAAATAATTGAGATGCCTTATGATCTCTCGACGAAAAATCGTGACTGAAAATTGGGTATACCTGTTTATCTACAACTTTAAGCAACTCAATAATATTATAAACTGGTAACTGACGAATGACACACGTGATGTTTTGCTCCAAGGCCTGAATCAAAGCGGATTTGCCTGCATAGACTTCAGACTTTAGATATCCTGACAGGAAAAAGTCTAACGGTGTGATATCACACGATCTTGATGGCCAATCGACCGCCCCAAAATGTGAAATTATCTGCTCACCGAAATGTTCTCTCAATAAATCCATTGATTGATGCGATGTATGGGAAGTGGCGCCAAAACAGTGAAACAAAATGTCGGCGAGATCACGACCTTCAATTTCAGGCATTAAATAGTCGGTTATCATAGCTTCATAACGGTCGGCATTGCCGGTTACGTTCTCACTGGCATCATATTTGAAGAAATATGGACTGGTAATTCCACCGGCCTACAAATCACACCAAACCGTTGTTTTTTCTGAATAAAATGATAACTCTTGAAAATGCGGCTACTTCGCTTGCTTACATTCCCATTAAGCCAGTAATGCGCCTCATCGCTCAACAAAAAATTGGCTGGGGAAAACGTCAGAGATGACGATGTTGCTTGGGAAGATCGAGCGGCTTCAGTTCTTACACAAGCTGATATTTTTACCGGGTTTTTTTTGTGGCACTTGGCCTTTTCGGAGGGCCGGAAAATTTCGGAGAATGCCTTCCGTGACGTCTTCAATGCTTGGAAATCGCGGTGGCAGCGCTGCATCGACCCAGGAGGAGTCTAATTTGAAAGTTTTTAAAAAATTGTAACGATTGGTTCAATACATTTTTTTAAATCCACTCAGTCCTATCAGTAGATTTCATTTTGCTCAAGTTTATCACCGCTCCTGTGTTTATTAATTATCCCAAAAGCCTTCTTTTTATAATCCAGTAAAAGGAAGTCAATTATTTAGTATAGTTAGAATGATTACATTCATGAATCCATATACATATTCCCCCTTTTGTTCAAAAACTCGTTGCCATTTTGGGGGTCATTTAGAAATGCACTATCATAGAAACCCTCGGTCGTATTGAGGAAAATTTTTCGGCAAAAACCATTCGGCATAGACAGAAACTACTACCTGCGCCAGGTTCAGATCATAACAACATTCCAACCAAACTGTCGGCGCTTCAGGCACTCCCGATATGTTTGGCCTATCGTTGTGTTATTGGAACACAATACCCTTGGAACAGTCCCTTCTTGGCGACTTTTTCAATCAGACAATCCAATTGTAGAGAGCACTGGCCGGAATTAAAAATTTGGACGTAGGGGAGCAGTTGATAGTAGTAGCGTGGTTCCTTCAGATCCCACCAAACATATTACAAAACTTTCCTGATAGTCAATCCTGATGATGGCCATTATTTGCACCGAGATTTTACCAAGACCGTTTGCGAGTGATACTGTCGTAACTGACCCACTTTTCGTCACCAATAACCACCCGCTCAATGAGGTTTTTTTTGTTTGCGTGGTACCCATATTTCTTTTTTATTTTGCTATCCAGTTTTATTTAAACGGTTCTAAACATTTTTTTCTGCAATTGGCCTCCAAGAAAATGGTACCTGGCTTACGATTTTGCCTTTATCGAAGGTGTTTTTTTTTTTTAATACAAGATCATACCTTTCTAACGCCCCAATTAAAGCATTATTCTCATTTTCAGAATTGTGTAGTAGTGTAGTCTGTATTCTGTTCTAAGCTGAGCTACTTTATATGAAAATTATCTCATCTAGACTCTCGTTATTAACATAACACAATCACATACGAGTAATATATTTATTTAAATATTTTCCCTCATATCAACAGTACCGCAGATGATTGCAAGACACCCTCAGATGGCAAACAACAAAAGGAAACCGATGTCTTCACTTCCAAGCTGAACTCTCTAATGCGCGGCAGCAATGCGGCCAAGGATGCTCTATTCGGTGGCGGTAAAGATGCTGGCAGCGAAGGCGGCAAAGCAAATGGACCACCACAGAATTTCGACGCTAAATGCTACATCGAAAATGGTAAAATTAATTATGGCAAATTAATCACAGACGAAGTCTTGGCCGCCGACTACAAACTGGTTGAAGCAGCAAAAAAGCAGGTGCGTAAAAATTTTGATAAGGCAGTGGTTTTCCGTGAAGCCGAAGAAATCAAAAGAACAAAGTTTCAATGAGTAGAAAATGTATTTATTCTCTCATCAAACAGCCCTCGTACATACTATAATATTCAAAAATGAATAAATTCCATTTTTATAATTAGACTAAATTTTAATTCCATTCCAGACCAATATTGCCGGCACCACAGCACTGATCGCCGTCATCGAGGGCAGCAAACTGACCGTGGCGAACGTTGGCGACTCGCGAGGCGTTATGTGCGACTCACGTGGTATAGCGATACCGCTGTCGTTCGATCATAAACCACAACAGGCAAGGGCTTACCAAAATAACTCTCCTCCTCTATATAATTAAAAATCATTTGCTTTATTTTCCCACAGGTGCGTGAGCGTAAGCGCATACACGATGCTGGCGGCTTCATCGCATTTCGTGGCGTTTGGCGTGTGGCCGGCATATTAGCGACGTCCCGTGCGCTCGGCGATTATCCATTGAAGGACAAAAATCTAGTCATAGCCAATCCGGATATATTAACCTTCGACTTGAATGATCACAAGTGAGTGAGCGGCGCCTTACTTGACTGTTTTGTTAAGGAAATTATTGTCTTGTTTTCGATTTTTTACAGGCCCACATTTCTGATACTCGCCACAGATGGTCTGTGGGACACGTTTAACAATGAGGAGGCCTGCACTTTTGTTAAAAAGCATCTACACGAAGCAGACTTTGGCGCCAAGGCGTTAACAATGGAATCATATCAACGTGGTTCAGTAGATAATATCACCGTGCTGTTGGTGGTCTTTCGTAATGGCAACTATCGTATTAGTTCGGCCACAACAACGAGTGCAGATGCAACGAAGGCCCACAATGCGGCTGCGCCAGCGTCATTGTCAGCTACGGCGTCGACAGCTAAATTTCCCGCAACCAATAATGCAGGGAAATTTCCCGTAACAAATTTAATTCGTTCGAATAGTGGCGTCACGGCAAAGTAAATTTCCCTTATTTCACCTATATAACATACATGTTTCTGTATGTATGTGTATATATGGATATTGTGTCACCATAAGGATGGAGTTGGGAGCACACCAAATGACCAGCGTTAGTGAAATTATGAAAGGAAAAACGAGGGTGGGAAGAAAAATGTATTTTTAAAATTATTTATGTGCCCTGTTACTAGGTAATAAGCATTTCTTTCTAAACCAAAACATATTCGAATGTGAGATATGTATATATGCATATAAAACACAAACTCGCTAATAATACATTACGACAGATACATCTATGTATGTATGTATTGAATATGATAACACTTTTTTATGCAACACTTCAAGGAAGCCAAGTAATCTTACACCTGCAACAATATTAATTTTCATCTATCTAAACCAAAGCGAACCACTAGCTTCTCGAAAATCGTTTCAACGCTGCTTACGCTTCGTATTCATTCGGTTTTCAAGAAAATGCCTTGCAAATTATGAGTATCTGCATAAGACCCCCTGATAATTTAATTATATAAATTACGAACTATATTTAGGAATTTTTAAATTTAGTAAATACACGAATGTCTAACGAAAATATAATAAAATTGAAACTAAAACTAAAATTAATTGTTTATTTTATGTCAATTTTATTTTCACATTGTTGAAAATATTTAAATTTCCTAATTTCCCGCAAAAATATTCTTTTTTTTCTCAAAAGCATTGTTTTCAAAGCAAATTATCGCTCCCATTGCCAAATCATCGAAATCGATAACGCATCAACAAAAATCACAAATCCCTCAAAACCACATCTGCAGTTTTAGCAGAAATGTGAACTGCCCATTTCTACCAGGCGCGCAAAGTGCAGCAGAAAGTGTCCGCGCCAAAAAAAATTTGCATGACGCGCCTGAAAGTATGCAATGTTTCGTCAGCTCAGCTGGATGTGAAGCAGGAATGTCAACCTAGCAAATTACACTAGGCGCGCAAATACAACTGCGAATATTGCAAAAGGACGATAGAAAAACTCACAAAACTAATTCAGACACAAATACAAACACTGAGTGAAGAAAAACACCTAATTATTAAATAAATACCCTATATTTACTATATAATTACGTCTTAAACTAAAATACCACTAAATTAATACAAAATATACAATTTCAAATTTTTTTTTTAGATTTTTTGACATTTCCTTGTTATTTATTTGCTTATATAATAAACAAATCAGCGCTCAATGAATTAACATTTTAAATACAGTACACATTTTTCTTTTCGCATACATTTCTAATTTGAATGCCCAAACAGTGGGCAACACTACTTTTAATACGTACGAAATTTGTAATTAAAAAAAAATAATGCCACTGTAATTAAGCGTCCTTAACTGCTACATAAGCTTAGTGAGCAGAAACGGATACTTGCCATACGCGAATGGTCTTGTCAGAGTAGCCAGCGAACAAAGTCTGGCCGTCAGTGGACCAAGCCAACGACAAACATTGTGGTGGATCGGCCTTTGAGCTGGTCGACACAACTTCGGGGCGCAGTTCCTCAACGGTCTTCTTGCATGCTAAATCCCAGATCTTGATGGATGGACCGTAGGCGACGCACAACCAGTAACGGTTGGGTGAGAAGCACAATGCATTGATGATGTCATTGTGTTCCAAAGTGTACAAGTTCTTGCCGTCATTAAGATCCCACAACAAGGCCTTGGAGTCCTTGCCACCGGAGGTGCAGAGCGAACCGTCGGGTGAGACAGTCACGGTGTTCAAGTAGCCATTGTGGCCGTGATGGTTGTTCTTCAACTTGCAGTTAGCTAAGTTCCAGACCTTGACGGTGCGATCCCAACCGCAAGACACGATGATTGGGTTGGAGTGGTTTGGCGAGAAACGTACGCAAGATACCCAATCGCTGTGACCATCTTCCTGGATTGTGAACTTGCACTCGGCCAAAGTGTTCCACAACTTGATGGTCTTGTCCCGAGAGCCGGAGACAATCTGACGATTGTCAGCGGAGAAAGCTACCGAGAGCACATCCTATGAATTAAAATAAAAAATATTAGTATTTTTTAATAAAAGAAACAAAATTATATAAGTATACAATGAACTGTGAACCAAAAACCAATACATAAAAATATTACCACTCGAGACTTACAATTTACCGCCTTGCTGTTGCGGTGAAGATTATCCGAGAAGGTGCTCCACGACACTCAACCAGAATTCTGCCTCGCATAGGCACGTATTTTTATATATATTTAGGTGATGCTTGACCTATCAAATTACTTTGCTACACTAGCTGATCTAACCTCAAACTTTGTCAAATTGTTTGCACAAGGCCCTAAATAAGCACCACCTGTACTCCTAGCAATTTTGCCTGCACTTAGTGCATTTTGAACTTTAGAATTTTTCCATAAAAAGTTAGGCCCTCTCAAATACTATGCTACACAAAAGTTGTGACTTAAAATTGTGACATTTCGCCCCACCTTGGTGTGATCTTCGAAACGACGGGTGGTCTTGCCAGCAGCCAAATCCCACAAGCGCAAAGTCTTGTCCCATGAGCCAGACAGAGCGTAGTTACCATCGGATGAGAGAACAACATCGCTAATGAAGTGCGAATGTCCGTACAAACGCTTTTGTGGAAAACCGTAGTTGGTGTCCTCATCGCGGGTCAATTTCCAAACGATAAGGGTCTTATCTGCAAGTAGACAATACAGTGGTTATAAGCATTTAACAAATGCAATGAAAAACTTAGTGATTGCATAAAAAAATTTGGATTGATTTCCAATAAGCACGACATAACCTAAAATGAATTCACTAGACGGCAATGTTATACTTACCACGAGAAGCCGAGATGATGGTGTCGGGATCCTTTGGGTTGGTGGCGATTTGTGTTACCCAGCCGGTGTGGCCAACAAGGGTACCGCGCAATTGCAGAGTTTCACTCATTTTTCAAGTATTTATAAAAAATTTCCTGCGGAGCGCAATGAAAATGCAACTTAACCTTACGAAGGTTTTATGGAAAAGAAGGAAATAAAGAAATTGGCATTCCATGTGCAAACTTGGCTGCGATATTCATTTATTATTTTTGCCAACAGATGGCGCACACAACACTAGAGGTAGATGAGGTGTCACTGCTAACTATGTATGCGAACAAGCTCGCAGTATCAGCTGCAAATGAATATAAAATAAAAATAAAATTTAAGTTAAATATGCAGATTTACTATTAAATAGATAAATTGGCGTTTTCTTGTCTTCGTTCACCGTTTTATTTAGTTTGCGTAGTAAAAATTCAAAATCTACGCTTTTACGATAATTACCTACCTAATTATCCAAATTACAACCACAAAGCACAAAGCCTCTGCCCCCTCCTTTCGGTCTATGACAAATTCATCGCAATCGTTTTTATTAATTCCAATCGATGTGTTTGTGCGAATGGAAAGAAGAAGCGAACTTGCTCGCCTGCATACGATGCCGATTGCCGTGCATTTCTCGATAATACAACAGTCATCGAGCTCTATTTATACCAGGTTCCCAGCGAGCTTAGAAAGCAACGAATGTAAACTGTCGGCTGGTCGCTCATCGAATGAGATTCAGCGCCAAAAACAGATATCGAGCTGATTGCCAAACGAATCGATAGGCCAGCGGCATAAACGCACGACCGAATATAAAAATGGCAGCGGCGGTTGCTTGCATAGTCGGCGTTCGTTGCTTTCGCAGCGGGTAGATCTGGTGCTTGCCAGCCAAATACATGCGCGTGAGCACGTTCAAAGAAGTCCAACCAATTTCCAATACGAATTCCGCACATTACCGAGATGCCTGAAATCGCAATTCCATACTTTTAGGCACGTCAGCGAAATTTTTTCCCAGGCAAACAGCCGCGCCACACAAGCAAACCAACACCCGCGCGCTAGGCAAGTTTCTTCAGCCGCAACACACGTAAATGTGCTTAGTCATGAGACTTGCTCGCGTTGTTGTTACACCGCAGTGTCTGTAGTAAACAATGGCCGCTTTGTTTTGACAGATGCCGCCTACAATGCGCACTCTGCGTATGCGAGAATGAGATGACAGCTGGGTTGGCGGTGGCGGTGATGTGTTTAGTTAGTGTACTATTCGCAATAGTGCTGCATTGCGCTTCGCTTGCGTGGCTTTGCTGTGCGCCTGCTGTTTGGGAATCAGAATTCAAAATGTTTTGAAATTCTTTGAAGTCGCAAGGTTGCTTGCTTGTGCCACACAGGGCACCCAAACGGCGCGTTTACGAACCAACGACGCGCCGTTAAGCGACAATGCTGGCTGTTAAGGAGCAGCCGATTTCCGGCAAACGGTTGACAGTTTACAAATAAATGGAGATAGTAAATTTTGACATCGAAATAGTAACACCATTCGTAAGCCATTTCGAAACAAAAGCAGTTCAGCCACAACAGTCGCACCTAAAATATCCATTGTGCCGCGGCGACACACTGTTGTATTCCACCATTCGTGCAGTTTTCGTTCGAAATGCGACCATTGAAATTCACAATTTCCTCTCATGTGAACATCACTACTCTTCCATACAGTTTTCAATATGACTCTGGGTGACCTTTAGCACTAAGTAGTTTGCACTTGGTAGCAGGAAATCGGATTAGTTTTCTACTGCGGCAACCGGCAGTGGCGGCTAAACTGTGAACATACCGCGCGAGATGGTGGCATTCAGTGTTGCGTTTCACTGTGACTGTTCCGTTATTATCCGCAACTTTTTACTTTCGACTGATATTTTAGCTTTAGTTTCAACCGGCGCTCAGTGCACGCCAGCTGGTGGCCGGCAAATGAGTAATGTTCTGCAGTGCCATAGTGAACACTCCCATGCTGTTTGACGTTTAGCCATTGCCGGCCTGTTCAATGCGTGATTGTAGCGGCATTTAGCGGCAGTGGGAAATTAAATGAAAGTAATTGAAATTGAATTTGAAAAGTGGTCGAGATGCTTTTTTTGAAAATGCAGAAACCTAACCTGCAAATATATTTATAATTGGGGGGAATTAAAAATAGCAAAATTTGCCGGCACAATTAAGTGACCCAATTGCAAATACATACGCGCACACATACTTGTACAATGTACATATGTACATGTGTATAGTAATTACGTGAGTTCGCTTCTATAGTGAGTACGTAAGAACTTACAATGAGTGTGCGCCAATTTTAGGTGACCAGAAAATATTTTTACGATTTAGTACTCTGAAAAAAATATTTTTGGAATCTAAAAACAATTTGCTTTTCTGCTTAGAGTGTGAAAAGTGAAAAACTTCGCATAGAAATCAAACATAAGTTAAGGTGTTTCAAGACTTCTGAGAACCTACGTTATGCCCTGAACAGTTCCTTAGTTTTTGAGATATCGATCTGGAATTTTTCACACATACTTTTCTCCCCAAGAGTACCTTCATTTGTTGGAATCACCAATATCGGACCACTATAGCATATGGCTCTCATATAAACTGAACGACCGGAATCAAGTGCTTGTATGGAAAACTTTTTTATTTGACAGGATATCTTGACAAAATTTGGCACATATTATTGCCCAAGAAAACTGTACAATCTCCAAACAAATTGTTCAGATCAGATCACTGTAGCATATGGCTGCCATACAAACCGGATAATTGAAATCATTTTATTGCAGCTTTGGTGCAATCTAAGTTTCTCTGGTTTAAAAAAAAAACTTGGACTTCGGAGCGCTGTTCCCGCTTTCTAAGACTCCAATATTCACAATTTCCCATGTACTCTCTTAATTGGAGTTTCCCGCACAGAAGCACGGCATATTAAATTAAGCTTATTGTTATTGCATTTCAAACACTTCAATATTGTTAACAATTGTTATAAATTAAGTATTGTAATATTAATTTGCTGAAGTATCTCATATGGGAGCACTCAATCAAAGGCTGGGCAGAGATTAGTTAACACGTGAATTTCGCCAGGCAATGAACTTGAAATACGAATCAACGCCAACCAGTAAATGTACGGATATAAATACATACAAATATGCAACTCTCCAATAATACTAACTTTCATAAATATGTACAGTATACATATATGTATGAACATGTATATGTAAGTATTTCCCTTTTCCCAATCTTACAAGTCGGGTGGGATGGATGAAGCTTCACGCTCTTTTCGCGAAAATAACGATAAATATATTGTACAAGAGCGCATATCAGGGTGAAATGAGTAAAAAAAAACTGAAATGGTATTCGCACCCGCTCAGCTATGACTTGACTTTACATTGGGGTTGAATATAAACGGTGTGATGACATTGCGTGAAAGCGCCAAAGAGAACGCGGCACGCACACCACCAGTTTTCGGTGTCGGCACACAAGACAGAGTCAATGGCAGTCAGTCTGTTCAGTTGGAGCGCGTTTACCGATTGTGGTGGTTTTGGGAGCGGCAATTTAGATAAATTTAGTGCGGCAATTATTGTCAGTGATTGTAAAATGTGTCTGCTCAATGATAAAAAATTCACTTAATATTCTGTGGAAAATTTATAAAAAAGCACAATAATTAAAAGAGAAATGTAATAAAAGAACACACAGCTTATTTACGTAGCCCTTACTACTTTACATACATACATACATACATATGTATTTGCAAAAACGAAACCACTTGTAAACAACACTTATATTCTAAAAAAGTTATTAAATTCAATTGCATGTTTTAGTAAATGTTTTTTTTCGCGAATGCAAAACGTGCGATTATTCGAGCTTGCTTGTAGAATGCTCAGTTATTACAGCGCCGACTAGGCACCATGTGCCAGCAATGCAACTGATACACCATTTTCGTGAAATGCATTCGCGTAGTGCAGTTGCCTAATGTATAGACTCTTAATGGGGGAACTTCAGTAAAAAACGTGAATATTTAAACTTTTATCGAGTTGAAATGTAAACAGAAGAGTTATATTGTATTGGCTGATGAAATTTAGCTATTTATTGCATGGAAACGGAACACCAGGTAGCATTATAGCCACTGTCGTGTACATATCTACAGGCATTGTTATGTTATTTTAAAGCACATGCAATCTTTAAGGTGACCAGGTGCAAGAAAAATGTTTTTCTTCGTAAAAAATTTTTTTTTTAATATTAATATTTTATTTTAAATAATAAAAAAATATATATCTGATCAGCTGACGGTGTTTCCTTGATTTTTCATAACACCAATAATTGTTAGATTTGTCAAATATAAAAAAAATTAAAATTCTTAAATTATAATTAAAAATTGTTGTCATATTTATCGTAGGCAGAGTTTAATATCCAGTGTTTGGTATTAGGTTTCTAACATTTTTACCAGCGTTAGCTGTATTTCTGTCTTTTTATAACCACTAAATTTGACAAAAACCGGTGCTATCTTCATTTTAGCATTTTATTGGTGTTTGGTATTTAAAAAGTAGTCGAAAAGCAACTATGTTTACTTTTAGATAAGGAATAAGCATAAAATTGAATTGCTCGACAGATACTTTATGTTTTATAGTCACGCTACAGTTATAGCTTTTATAATACCAAAATAATCCAGAGCACAACATTTTAATTTTAATTTTTTCTCCACAATACAGAAATAATAACAAATAAATCTTCAAAAAGTCGTTGAATTTTGTTCCGAAAATGTTTTTTACATGTTACGTGGGTTCCTTCGGATAAAAAAAAGTAATTTTTCGCTCGGAAAAATGTCCCCGCGTTGGCAGGGTTACAGAGTAATTTAAAGTGAAAAAATACTTGTTTAAGTTAAAACCTTAACTTAGAACTTGAACGATGGAAAAACAAAACTGAAAATTGGATTTTTGGCAGACATTTTTACAAAAATATAAAAATTTCAGTGCAAGTTTCGCGACATTTTTTTTTTCAAATAGTTGTTGTCGAAAATACTCCTTCGTCCATGTCTTCGAACGAATATCAGTTAAAGCGCCCATGCCTCGTGAAATACCGATTTTAGGCGGCTAAAAGTTGCAGAAATATATTTTCATATAATAACTTGACATAATTTGAACTGATTTTCCTTGCTTGTAGAAAAACTCTCAGCGAACCCATTTTATATGTACATGTGTATGTATAACACACACTTTCATCCTATTCTATGGTACTCAACAGGTGTATCGTGAATACAATAAGGCCTGCCGTTGAGGGAGATAAAAATGTTTGTATTGGCTTTGTGACAGCAGACATTGACTTTGAATTCGCATCGAACTATTGGTTGGTTATTGGTTTGACAGGCCTGATTGTCGCTCTTTTTGCAATGCTAATCACATTAGAACAGCATATTCATACATACTTACATGTATATATACATATGTACACATGCAGATTCACATTCAATTAGGGTAGAGTGATAATATGATACGTCCAAGGATTTTAAGATAAGATATGCATTCTAATTAAAAAACTGTTACTAAGAAAAAAACTACAGGATGAGGTTTTGACTGTTCCGTACCTATGTTAATATTTAAAGTTTTGACATAGATAGACCGCTGCTACTAGTTAGTAAAAAGTTTTTTGAATAGTTTCGGGAGTTTTATTCATATTTAGTAAAAAACCTTCTTTGAATTGTTTCGGGAGCGGTATTCATATGTTTCCTCTTAGCGAAGAACACTATCCAGTATCTGTTTGAGTTTGAGATGCATTGCTGGTTTCCCATTCATTTTCTGTCAGTTACCAACGGAAAATGTTTCTCAATTTTACTTATAATAATAAAATAAAAATTTTATTCGTCCATGAAGTACCCACCCTAATGTTTTGATATTTTTTTTATCATGCATGCGCAGTGCTAAAGTGAGAAAATTTGCACGGCCACGCAAAAATCGCTCGCAAAAATTAAAGCTAAACATTTATTTCATGCTACATACATATGTACACATACACACTTACGTATGGTACACAAGTGCATACATATAATGAATGTGGGAAATGCTACAGTAGCGGAAACCACAATGAGACCGAACTCTACAAATTAAAGTAATAATAACTGTTGTATATTTATGTTCCAAGTCATAACAATTTTTAAAAACAAACAAATTATTAATTTTTCGGTTAAATTATCTTAAAACAATGCATTTTAAATTTTTTAAAAAATTGCATAAAATTGAAGTGACGTTTTTCTTACGGGGTTTGTGTTGCAAGTGCATATGCATGTGCGAGAATGAGCTGTTTCATTTTCCAACGAATATTTGACAGTTGAATTCAATTTTCTTCTTACACACGGTAAAACCGAAAGCGGTAGTTGTCCATTTGTTCAGTTCTTGATGCGAGCTCCAGCTGAAAGGTAGTAAGACTACACCGCTAACAAATATTCGAAAATTCGTTACATATGTACATACAAATAAATAATTGCTCAAACGTGGTTTTATTACGAAAAAATCCTTAACAAATTTAAATATATACGTAAAAATAGTAATCTGCACAAAAAAACTCAACAAGCGGCTTAAAAGTTTAAAAGTGGCCGACTTATTCTGACAAGTGACACAAAAATATTTAAAAATTTCGTGAAAGAGTACATAAAACCAGCATTTATAAAAGAAAACGCCAATTTTCAATAAAATAAAAAAATACGTTAAAATGACAGAACGTTATGCCAATGGTGTTTCCACAAGTTTAGTGCATAATTCGCCACCTGTTGCAAGCAATGGTAGCGTGGCCGTCACCGACGCCGCTGCCACGCTTAATGGCCATGGAAATGGCAATGCGGCAATGCCTGAATCTGACGACGGCGATAAAATCGTATTGAAACGCAAACTGACGCTAATGAACGGTGTGGCTATCATTGTGGGGACTATTATCGGTTCCGGAATATTTATAGCGCCAACAGGTGTCTTCAACTATACAGAGTAAGTATGTAGTTTGAATTTCCACAGTTATTATATTTCATTATTATTTTTCCTTTTATATGAATGCGCAATGAAAGAGAAGTTTAACAAGAATTCTAATAAAAGTTCTCTTATTTTAACTTCTGAAATGAAAATCTATAATTGAACAGTTGCTTTATTTACTAATCAATATCTTTAGTGGTGGAGTTAATAATTTGTGCTATTATTTGGCTATTAAATACTAACTCGTATTAGACAATAGTTTTGTTGGAAGTTTTGTTGACATTGCTTTGTCGTAACGGTGCTACTTAAAGAGATAATTCTCTGTCAGAAGAAGGAAAAATTGTAGCTCAAAAACCCTAATTTTGAGAAATTTAATTTTTTTGTTTTTGCATATTTTGATAGTTCAGCTGTATGAGCTGAGTGAATTTAGCCATGCCCGTCTGTCTGTATACAGTTTATCAGATAACGATCTGAAACTTTACACTTGTCTTTTTCTCCCTAAGAAGTTGGTCATTTGTCGGCACCGTAGATATCAAATCACTATAAAATGATCGGAATAAAGTGCTTGTATGGTAAACTTTTTAGCTATTGTTCGGTGTAACGGTGCAATCTCCGAAAAACTTGTTCAGATCGAGCCTCTATAGCAAATTTTTTTTTACCCCACAAATAATCCGATCAAAGTTCTTGTAAATAACTTTTTTCATGTGTAAAGGGTATTATAGCTTTCGTGTTTTTTTGTTTTAGCTTATTTTGCAAATTTATTTAAATTTGACTTTGCTACTGTTATTAAGGTACATATACATATATTTGTTAGGGATATAGGTAATTCAAAGATGCTCTGTGCTTACTTAAAATGCTACTAACTATTTTCCTCTTTTCCTCATTTCATCTTTTCATGTATTTCACTTCTTAAAAAATATTGTTTTATTCAGTTCTCTAACATTACTAGAATAATATTGTTTTAAATTCTCAAGATACGCCTTGAAAAATTACGCGCTTGAAGTGGACTATATAAACACTTAGAATTTTAAAGACGTTTTCCTGGAAAATGTGTTTTCAAAGTCGGTTGTCAAGATTTCACTTAATGATTCACTTAATATTACATAGGTCTACGAGATATAATTTACATAGCCTTCAACGAGGAGGACTTTTTAGTACATTTACAACTATTATTCTCATCGAGAAAATTTTTGCTTTTTTGTTTGTACTTCGTCCAACACTTAGTTTATGGTCTTAACTAAAGACGTATTTTCTTATTTTTACTTCGATGATTCTGTAAGAAGTTTATTGCGTAAATTTAATGTATTCAGAATTGATAAAATTTTGTATTTGTCTAAGTAAGTAAAAAACATGAAAATTCTGCAAAAAATTCCATGAATTAAATTCATTTGTAGAAGTTGAAGAAACCCTTATAAAAGAAAAGTCGTTTGATTAATATCTGCAAAGTGCGAGAACATACAATTTGTATATATAAAATGTGTTTTCTTCAATTTGCATATAATTATGAAGGAATTAATCTATGCATGTGCCTAATATACTTAAATTACTATTCAAACAAATAATTCCGAGTTTTTTTAATTACTGGAAATTGTTAAACACGGAAATATTGAAATATATTGCTTCTTTAGTTTCTGGAACGAGCCATTCTGTAAAAGCATATGTTACATACTACATACATACATGTCTTTACCATTCGAGAGTAAGATGTGTGGGCGAGCGTGCTTCATTGAAAATTTATCAATTAGTTTAATTGGCAAATTACAGATATACAAGAAATGTGTGTATTATCATTTATTTTCATTTCACAAAACACTTCGTACGAGGGCTACTTTCTTGACATCTTATGCCCGATGTTCAGTGTGTGGCTCCTCTAGCATCTGTAGAAAGCTGTATTGAAATTTATCAAACTGCTCGCGTGTATACCTTTTATAACAAATTTTATTCACTAAATGAAATCAATTAGTGGATTCCGAAAGATATTAATTTAAAATGACAACGAGTTAAGATCTTATTCTGTACACTTATAAAATGAAGCAATATTTTCCAATAAAAATTATTAAAAAATTAACTAGCCTAAATATTTATAAAAATCTAGCAATAATTGCTAATAAATATTAAAATTTTATTAAAGTTTTAATTTTTTCAATATATATTACATATATGTGACTTGGTCTACGGAAAGGGGGCTTAGGTGTCAAAAAATCAACGAGAAACTGACGAAACGAGTTGTTTATTTTTAACAGCTGTTTCCCAGAAAACTAGTTTTCGCACGTTAGCTCCCTTTTCGTAGACCAGGTCACATATATATATATATATAATTTATCTTACGTTGCATAATAATGATTGCAAAACCTAAACACTACCTCGGCAAATGCCAATCAAACGCAAACGCACGTACAAACACGTACGTACATGTTAGCATTATGATTTGTGCTTGAACAAGTTTGTCAATTTTAAACAAGAATGACAAACATATTGCCAACGAGTTTCAAGAGAAAATCACCAAACCCCTCATTTGCCACTGCGCAGCCTTTAATTACGTGCATAATTTAAAGCAACTCTTTTAACGAAAATTTGTAATTTGCAACGGTCCTAACTATAGTAGAGCAAACTTTTAATTCGCGGCAACGACAAATTTCGGGGAATGCCCGTGCGTATACGTAACATTTACTTTGACGTGTCTAGACGTTCATGATTGCGTTGTGTACCAACAAATTCAAATTTCTTAGTTATTTATTTATATTTATTTGTTGTTTAACTTTTTCAGATCGGTGGGCTCGTCTCTGCTCATTTGGGCTGCTTGCGGCATACTCTCGACGATCGGCGCACTTTGCTATGCTGAGTTGGGTACGAGCATCACACGTTCGGGTGGCGATTATGCATACTTGTTGGTGGCATTTGGACCGCTAGTCGGCTTTTTGAGATTATGGATAGCTTTGTTAATCATTAGACCAACAACACAGGTGAGTTTTGTGCAGACATGTACATATTTTGATGTGAATGTATGTATGTATGTAGATTATACAAGTGTGTAAATAAACAAAAATGCTAATAAATAACTGTACAAATAATCAAATCGAATTAAGTAGGAATTTTTTTCTTAGTAGGTAGCTTTTTAAAATAATAAATAAAAAAATTTATTAGAGAAAATTATTTTAATTCATTATTTTAAAATTAATTGATGAAAAATTTGAGAATTGAATTTATTTTTCAGTGCAAATATCGTAGAGAATTTGGCAAAATTTTTAAAGTAATTTACCTTTCAAAAAATCGATTATTGTTTTTGTACACATATGTATGTATGTATTTGAGAATTTTCCTCGAAGATTTAAAGTTGTTCCGGCAAATAGTTACAGAGATATAAGAATTTTTAAACTTAGTTTAATCGCCTCCTAGAAGCGAAAAGGAAGAACGCCCTGTAGCAAACTCGGCTATAGCCGCATAAGAAGTGTCTACGCCAATATAGAAGAAGAAGAATTGCCTTCCAAAACTTAATACGCGTTTTTTTATAAAATGCTGTTTTCAGACTCGTTTAAAAAAATTTTATATGTGTCGCTAATATGGATGAATGTGTTCGTTAATAATTTTGATTTTTGATTCTAAAGTGTAAATTTTTTCACAAAATAAAACTTATTTTAGAACGAAAGAAAATCGAACTTTTGAGCATTCATTTAAACATTACCGGCATTATTAATAATTTTTTTTTTTGCATTAGAGATAATTTTAAGCAGAAAAATATTCCTCGCTTACAAACTGGAAACCTAGAGATCGTCTGCGGAAGCAAGATAATCTAATTATAATTTTTTTTTATTAAGATGTATTTTTTTAATAAAAAATTACACAGAACAAAAATTTTATGTTGAAAAAAAAAGAGTTGTAACAAAATGAACTTGATTCTTAAACTTATTCTTAAAAAGAAAACTATAATTGATTTGTTAATATATTATTTAAAAATTTAAAATCATTACCATTTTGAGCTTTTCAAAATATATAATATCTGGCATTACAGTTAATTGTGAAATTAAAAAAATTTCAGCTTACTTTCATATTTTCCATGGAGTAGGTCAAGTTGAGCGAGTTAAATAGGCAAGGTGACATAAATTACTTATTTTTAATAAGCAGTGCAGCTTACTTTCCACTTCATAAAGCCTAATTATATATGTATGTACATACATAAGTTATGCGCTTGCATACCTATGAAGGTATATGTACGTATGTATGTCAAAATATGTTCGAGCGCATACATACAGATGTTATTGCACGCTTTGAGTGATGAATCATTGATTAATGGGAATGTAACAAGCATTAATAATTTCTAAAACTATATTTACTTATTATGAACTCATATCGCGAATTTTTTTTCGAACTGACCATGTTCGAACATAAAAAATACAGGGACATTCAATATACATATGTACATGTAACGAATTTGAATAAAAGCATTGTCATAGAAGGATATCAATCCTACATGGAAATTCCGGAACCTTAAAAATAATATATGTTTTTTAATGATCAAAACGATTCAACTTAGTCCCATCCTTCTTTTTATACGCGAATTAGTCCCTTAGTTTTTGAGATATCGATCTGAAATTTTGCATACCTCTTTTACTTCCGACGAAGTCGTTTAGTGGTCGGACCGAGCCCAAAACCTTGTATGGAATTTTTTTTTATTTCACGAAACGATGCAAACTTCGTTCAGATCAGACCACTGTAGCATATATCTGCTATATAAACTTACAGGTCAAAATTACGATCAAAATCTTTTTATGCTCATTTATGCTAAAACTGCAACTGTTTCTAGCTTTAGTACTGCACAATTTAACGTTTTTTCTTGTTTTCACATTAATAATATTGGGTAGTCGAAAAAGTCTTTTCGTATTTTGTCAATAGATGTCGTGGCAGTCGTATATCACCAGTGTTAGCAATCACATTGTGTCATATTATATAGTGTTGGAAGATGAGATTTCAAACTTCATTTAACCAAAAAGTTACCGCTATTCAAAACGAGTAAAAATAATGAAGAAATTCGCTATATTTTGAAATTTTTGTATAAAAAGGGGAAGAATGACACGCAAGCCACCAATGGTATTTGTGAAGTTTACGGAGACGATGCTGTATCAGTTTGTGTAGCACAGCAATGGCGCGCTCGCTTCCGTTCTGAAAATTTCGAAATATTGATTTACACTGATAAAAGCTTTACACTAATGGAATAATGTCGCTAGCGGAAAAATGGCAAAAAGTTGTCGACCAAAATGCTACATAGTTCTTTATTTATTTATTAGTATAAATTAAAAAAAATAATAATTAGAAATACGTAAAGGCTTTTTTGACTAACCAATATAATATTAGAATATACATACATACAATTATCAAATACACTATTATCATCGCGACCGATCAGTCCAAAATGAAAACCCCTGAGAACTAGCTCACTGTTATTGAGCCTTTGCTTAAAATTATGCGCCATTTAGTAGTTTTACTACATAATATAGTATCATATGTAAGTATATAAATTCCATTTTACAATTATATTAACTAAAATATGCATGATTTGTCACCCAATAAATAGTATATTATATTAGGGTAGATGGTATGTAATAAAAAACCTATAAAAATTCAATACAGCCTTACTTAAAAAGCCGAATATCTGGAGAAGTATTATTGATAGCGATTTGGACCTCGGACCTTTTTTTTAGCAAATAAAATTTCCTCATGTCATGTACATACAAGCTCTTGCCATTTACGAGAAATATACAAAACAAAAAAGGGAATATCGTGGAAAAATCAGGTTTAGAGACCTGTACTACCTCTCCGGTGTGAGTTTCGACTTTGTCGCAATGGGAACTTTTGTAGAGTGTGTGTGTTTTATGAGGAATGTGTGTGTAGAGTCAAAGCGATGCCATAAAATGCCTCTGAGCTCTAGAAATTTAAAGATAAAAAATCACGATTGTCGTATATTTTCAAAGGAAAATTTTTACATGCCTTGGTCGAGTCCTTAATGTTAATATGAAGGGCTCAAATTTTCAGAGAATTTTTTTTATGGTATTTCCAAAGAAATTTCATGATGAGAGTGAAAAAATTAATAGTAAAAAAAAACACCCTAATATTATATAGATTAGGGTGCGTTGAGGAAATCAATCCTTCTTTCAGTTTTCTTATTATTGTTCTTATTAAAAAATTTAAATCTCGCACCCAACTACTGGAAAAAATATCTCGTTTTATAAATTTTTTAGAATAGGGGAAAGACCTGCAATGGTTCTGGAATGCTCCGCAATGCTCGACAAAACGGTCTTCGTCAAAAGATATTAACGGTTAAGGTTTGAATGTTTTAAGGCACATTTTTCCTAATGAATTTAATAACTCAAAGAAAAAAATCAATATAAATCGGAAAACTCATAGGAAATACTGCTCTACAAAAGTGATCAACATTTTTTTGAAGCACCCTAATGTAAGAATACTCGTATAAAAAAGCAATAACAAACCGCAATTTGCTTACATCTGTTAATGAATTGCAGCAAATTTAATTACAACAAATTTTATTTCTGTCACTTTATAATTTTAATGTTCGTATGTACGTATTCTTCATATTCTTCCAGACAATCGTCGCGTTGACTTTCGCGCAATACGCGGCAAAACCATTTTTCGAAGACTGTTCACCGCCCGAATCGGCTGTAAAGATTTTAGCGGCAATTTGTTTGTGTAAGTGAGGAGGAAGCAAAACGCATTTATAAATAAATATGTACATATGTATGTATATGCAAGCGTATGTATATGTAGTATGCATACTTGTCACACGTGATTTGTTTACGCTGATAAGGAAACATTACACCAAGTATATTTAACAAATTACCATCATTAAAACAACAGCCTACACACACACACATTTGTACATATAACATTTATTTATAAACTTCCTTTTAGATTTGTAAACACTATCTCGCGGAACACGCCACCCGTTCGCCCACTTTTTGCGCACAATCGTAAACAAATCGGTTTTAGTTTAAAACTTATGGCAATTAATGGCTGCAAATTCGGAATAAATATATTTTTAATTACATGTGCACATGTACATTTGCAGGTTTGCTCACTGCCATTAACTGTTTATCCGTGAAATGGTCGATGAAAGTTCAGGACATATTCACCGCCGGCAAACTTTTGGCATTGGTCATGATCATTTTAGCTGGTCTCTACTATTTGGCGTTGGGCCGCTTTGAGAATTTCGAAAACGCCTGGGAGGGCAATTATGATGCGGGCAATATTGGATTCGCCTTTTACTCGGGTCTGTTTGCATTCGGTGGCTGGAATTATTTGAATTTCGTAACGGAGGAGTTGCAGGATCCATACAAGTGAGTTTATTTAACGACTTTTAGAAAATTTTTCGAAATTTGTCTTTACAAATGTCTGTTTGAATTTGTAGTATGACTATTTTCTTTAAAAAGATCATTGCCAACTGATTTATGACCTCTCACATATGTATGTATAAAAAAATATTACATTTATACAAATGAAGCTTATTTAGCGATTTTTTACATTTGAAGAATTTTTACACATACATATGTAGATTGGAATTCTGATAAGAAGGCAGGGAAAGTACTCATCTTTTTCAGAAAAGACAATTGGAGCAAGGAGAGAGAGAGAGAGAGCAAGCTTATCTTGAAATGGGCAAGAATCTTTTGTAAGAACACGCTTTACATAAACTATCCTTATATTGGTTTAAAATAATTACTTGTTGAATGAAAACCAAAAACAAATTAAGAAGTCAGCTCATAACATACTGAGTAGAGTTGAAACTAAAATCTCGTATAAGTACTACTGTGATCAAATTTTTAATTTATACTTCGCTTGTTGTTTTAATCGGTACATTTTTTTCTGTAAGTTTGTAGTACTGATAGTGACATCTATGCTAAATTTCACGTCAAAATATTCATTAATATTTGAGATACGCGTCGTTTTGTGAGGCTCTGAAAGTGAATTCTACGATTTTTACTATGTCTGGATTTATTGACCAAAGAAGTGCGATAATGCCCCATCTCATACTGCATTGGTTATTCGTGATCATTTCTCCACATATTCACTTATATCGTGCCGCAACCACCACATTCGCCTGATTTATCTTCGTGTAACTTCTGGCTATTCAGCAAATGGCATTTACTCCGAGAATACCGCTTTGACTCAATTGAAAATATAAAAGCTGAATCGAAACAGGCACAGATGGTCATCACCACGGAGGATTTTTCCATTCGCTGGGATAACTGGTAAATTCATTGGCATAAGTGTATTGCAGCGAGAGGGGATTACTTTGAAGGAAATGAAATCGGCAAAATTCATTTTTAATTCGATCACAGTAGTAGGTTGCTTTTTATATAATATTTCGGAATTTTACAACCTTAGTGTTGCAATTTGGCAACTCACAACTTTATCGTAAAGTTTGACATTTTTGATGCTATACATACACGAACGCTATTTGTGTTCTTTACAGTAACTTAAAATATTCATCTCGGCCAAAAAATCGAATAATTAGGCGTTCAACGTATCAGAACGCATTTTTTGGAGGTAGGTTAATCTGAGTGGAAAAAGTGCTTGGACAATTGGTTCCAACGCAAAACTATCTTAGGAATATACAGTGTTTGTCTGTAGAGTAATAGGACTGAATCGATTTAGAAAAAAATATTGAACCAATCGTTACAATTCTTTAAAGGCTTTCAAAAATAGCTCCTTCTGTGACGATGCAGCGCATGGAGAGCCATGCTGCCTGGATCCCCTCTGTCATCTTAAAATGCTTGCCTTTCATTGGCCTTTTCAGACAAGGAAACAAAAAAGTTCGGAGGCGCCACAACTGGAATGTAGGGCGGTTGCAGAAGCGTTGGGATGTCGTCCTTGGCTAGGTAGCTATTCACAAGAAAAGTCGTGGTGTAACTTCCAATCGGCTGCGATGTCTTGCCGGACCCGATTGATCCTACGTCGAGTCTCTTGAGGACTTCTAAGTAAAACTTGGCGTTGACGGTTTATCTAGGAGGAACAAATGCGTTTGATGTCAAAAAAGACAATGAACATGGTTTTACATCAGCGACTTCTTCTCGGTCCTCCAAAAAAGCACGATGCCACCAAAATACCGACTTTCTGCTAAAGTAACATCTGGGTAAGCTTGCTTGATCATATCAAACGTCTCTGTCGAAGATTTACCGAGTTTCACACAGAATTTAATCGCGTACCTTTGCTTTAACGAAACGCTGCATTTTCGGCTTGTACCTGTAACACGCGCGAAAATGTTTGTCCTGACTCTCCAGGTACTTGGAGACAACTGACCAGCCCTCTACTGAATCCGTGAGTGCGCGCTCCGAAGTACAATCGCGGCGGAAGAAATCAGTCCGGACAAATTCTATACGGCAAAATTTTTTAATATTAAATAATACAGAAATGTTCTTCTGATGGAGCTAGTGCACTGAGCAGCAAAACTTCTTTAACTAAAAACTATTTGAGATATGGAATTACAACTTTAGTATGCTATTTTTAAAAGTATTACCTACCGAAATATGAAGATATCGATTTTTAAAAATTTTCAAACTAAATGTGTCCCTTAAAGTCGTTCGACATTATTTCAAGGCTTTAAGCAAACAAAATTAATTGGTGCATACCTTTTGAACCCACCAAACTAGTTCTCTGTGATTTCTCTTCTACAGTGATAACCCAGGTATGAAATCAAATTTCAATTTGAGTGAAAATTTAATTTTCTTAAGTGTTGTGTCAGTCAACTGCTTGCGTCACTCGGTCAATATCTTAGCAAGTCATTCTCGACGGTCTTTTATCCTAAGTATTTGCTTAGCAATCCTCTCTTTGCAACGCCGTTTCCTACTGTATCACGTTCAAGTGGCTTCATTGCGCATAAAAGAAAAGTTTTCAGCAGCACTATGCCCTGATGAATGGTGTTTCTAACAAATGGATGTGGGTGTGCGTGTGCGTTAAAGTCAAGCGTTTAACAATCCTTGAAGGCAATTTATTTTGTAGTGAAAGTTCAAGTATTTTCATGCGTTTGTCAAGCGTACATTGATTGGTCGCGGCGTTTATTGAAAAGCAAAGCCTACCAGTTGATTCTGGAATATGTATGTATGCACATAACTTTCACGCAAACTTATACATATCTACATAAGTATATTGAATGGTACAAATGTGGGTAACTGCGAATGAAGCAACGTGGGAGTAATCATTCAGATGGCTCAGTAGGAAAAGTTTGATTTACTTAAGCGATGGCTGTACTCGATAGTTGGCCAAACGAGCCGATAGTTTTCAAACTAATTTATTACTTTGGAAACAATAGCACCTAAAAAGCTATACGATACACAAAATATTGTAAATTAGGGAAAACCTACCACAAATATTACTGTTCGGAGTTAATTCGTTCGTTTTTCCTACAAGATCCGTACATAAGGCTTGTCATGCTACAACCATTGCTATTCATATATGTATGTATGCAATTTGACACTTGTTGAATTGCTGTGATTTGCAATTCATGAGAGTTTAATTCGAAAAAACAACGAATTGTTAAATGAACAGCTGTTTATGTGTCCGCTTAACCGACTCGGATATAACTTATCAGCCGTGAAATAAGTGAATATGTAAATGAAGTAGACATCTCAGTACACATTTATCTTGCATAATTATGTATCTACTTGCAATCGTCTAAAATAAATAATAAACTAATAAACCAATATTTGTTTTGTCTATAATGAATATAGAAAGGGTTTTAGAAAATATCAAAATTTTCTCTATAGCTATCTAGGACGTGGTTTAAATTTGTTAGGTTGTTTTTTCAGGAATGTATAATTTGTTAGTCTATTATCTGGCATTTAAGTAAACATATCTAGGAAAATTACCCGAAAAAGGTTTACACGGAAACGTTCCCACAATAGTTTAAACAATCGAAGCTAATCCGAGTTCACAATTTTGACACTGTGTGACTAACCTAGATTTCATAAACTTAGGTCAAGAATTCAAATTTAATTGTTATAATTTGGTTATTTGGTCCATTACTATTAAAATTCTGTACTAGATAGAGAGTTCTGAGCAGAACACCAATCTTTTATTGCTAATCTCGTTCAGTTGGCAAAGTCAAAAAATGAAATGAAACCTCATTAAAGCGTAAAAAGATAAAGATAGATAACATAAGATACAGAATATACGGAGACCTGTTGGGTTATTTGATAATTCGATACACAGAACGGCTTTTACAATGAATTTTTATTACAAAATTTTTTATGTTTCTTCCTTTCACTCTCATTCTAGGAATCTGCCACGCGCTATTTGGATTGCTATGCCCCTAGTCACCGGTATTTATGTGCTTGTGAATCTCGCCTACTTTGTGGTGGTTTCGAAAACGGAAATGCTCAGCTCACTGGCAGTGGCGGTCACGTTCGGTAATCGCGTATTCGGACCGCTCGCCTTCATGGTGCCGATATTTGTAGCGCTTAGTACATTCGGTGGCGTTAACGGTGTACTCTTCACATCGGCACGTCTCTTCGCGACGGGTGCACAAGAGGGTCATCTACCAAAATTCTTTACACTATTCCACATTAAACAACAAACGCCCATACCATCACTGATATTCTCGGTAAGTGACACAGATTCGAATGGAGTGGGAGTAGAATATGCAAACATAATTTATATATGATTTGTTTTGATTTACACAGTGCATCATGTCGCTACTGACACTACTCACTGCCAACGTTTACGTTTTGATAAATTACTTCAGTGCCATGTTGTGGCTGTCGGTGGTTGCCAGCATAGCGGGCATGCTCTGGATGCGTCATACCAAGTAAATGCAAATTTTGCAATTAATTTTCTATAATGAAATTAACTAATGCTTCTACACTTACAGACCGAACATTCCGCGACCTATTCGCGTGCACCTGGCACTGCCAATAATCTTCATTATATGCTGCCTGACCCTAGTGCTCTTGCCTAGCTTCAAGGATCCGATGAATCTCATTATTGGTATTGGTATTACCGTTGCTGGTATACCGTTTTATTATCTATGCATAGCGCGTAAGAATAAACCAGCTTGTTATGGTAGACTCTCACGTGGTATGGTGAATTTCTGCAGAGCCATGTTCAATACGGAGCTCATAGAGAGTAGTGAAAGTGACGAGAAGTAAACTAAAAAGCAGCGAAAGCTTTATGAAAACGAAAATAATGTAGGCTTTAATTTTAGTAAATATTAAATTAAACAAACTCAGCGCTAAACAGGTTATGTTTTAGGTTAAAACAAGTACATATGTAACTATTTATGTAAGTACAAAATATTTCATACGCGTATTATTTCATTTTATAGCGAAAAGTATTGTATTTATTTCATTAAAATAAAATAAAATTTATTTTATAAGTTAAAGCTAAAGTTTATGTAATTAAGATACACTCGCACTTACACAAGCATATTAGGAATAAACTTGTAAATATGTATGTACGTTTGCAGACCAACAATATATGTATGTATATCTATGAACCAATTTATAAAAGTTTAAACCAAAATTTAATGAATAGAAAAGTTGTTACCACCTTTAGTTAGTGCATATGAAGCTTCTAAAAAAACAGCAATAATGTTATTATTTACAATTTTTAATATGATTTTTTTCCGTTGCTAAAAAATAATTTGGGAGCAGGAGATATTACGATAACCTTTCTTAAAAAATAATTTACTGGAGATATATCGATAACCTTTTTGAACGCTTCCGGCGTCTTTTTAAATAAATCAAGCACCAAATTTTCTCAAAATTGTGAAAAATTTTGTTAATTGACTAAATTAAGAGGTTCTCTTATATAACTATTAGACTAAGAAGATAGTGAAGGAACACAAATACTATTATGTGTAAAAAACATACACAAATTTAGTCAAATAATATAATTTAAATAGCTTTTTTTACCAAATGAATGCAATATTTTAAAATTTAGTGTGAAAATCAGTAGTGAAGCAGTAAAAAATATTTTTTCAAGAAGTAGTGGAAAAGGACTAGCGACTATGTTTTTTAAAAAGAAATAAAAAAAACTACCAAGGTGAAAACGACATTTTTCGGTTATTAGAAAAAATTTACTTTTTTCGAGACATTTAGTTATAAATAAAAAAATTTATTTCGCCGTTTTTCAAATATAGCATAAAAAAAAAAAAATATTTGCCTTCGAAGTTCTAAATAAGGCCTATTGACTTTGAAAATTATTTTATTTTAATTATTATTCATACTTTGTTAAATTTATCATTTTAAAAAGTAATTTTTTTGAAAATTTTTTTTAAAACATTTTTTTTTAATATTTTTAAATGTTTTTTAAAATATTTCTTAAAAATTTTAAATTTTTTTTTAAATTGTCATTTAGATCCTACCAAAAGAAAATACCAATATTAATAGTTGTTATATTTTCTTTTCACTTGGCAACTTTACTTTGCTTTTAACACTGCTATGAGCTCAGCCTTGGATTTCAATGTTTAATTTACACTTCTTGAAATTAAAAAAAAAATCTTCAAATTAACCTTAAACATGATTTTTTTTTTTAATATTTAAGTTCTAAATTTTTAAATTATTGAACTTTATTGGATAGCTACCGAGCTTATTTGCATTAAGAACTTTTTAACTTTAAAAGACGCAACGAAATAATTATGACATTTTAGGGAATAATGCCTTAAACGATATTAAAGCCTGCAATGCAGCATAATATAACATATTTATACACGTTAATTGATATAAAATTAAAAATTGGTACAGTTATTTGGTAAGCGAGTTACAAAAGAATACTCGCCAAAAATAAGCAAGTAAGACGACAATACAAACTTGGTTATTTTCACGAATGAAGTGAGCTTGGGTAGAAACGACTTGAAAAGTAGTAAACATTTTTCAAACAACTGCTATCATATTCCAACATCCATAAGTGATAGCTGAGTAGTTGCAACAATTGAAAATTAGCTTCGGGGAAATTCTATTTGAATTGAGCTTTCTTTTGCCGCTCACTTACGAAAAAACTAGCTTAGTATAAGTTATTTAAAAATATACACACACTTACATACATAAACAAAATACATTGCAAATATTAAAGTATATATGTATTGGCAAATATGCTTAAAATACTTATTTAATGCTAATAATTAAAAAAGTATAACAATAATATTTTAAATGTGGAATAATATAGCTTCAGAATTAAATAAATGCTTGAAAATTACATATATGAGACATAATTTGTTTCTTTGTACAAGTTAGGGAATCAAATTTATTTTAAAACTTCTGTTTAAAATTATTTTGCTAACATGAGATAATGCAGAGTATATGAAAAAAGTACCCGGAAATTGTAAATAAAATGAAAAATATTTAAATATTCATCATTATTTATTTTGTCTTGTCGGTGAATATGGTGGTTGTTTGTATCGATGGCATTCATTGCGTTTTTGGCTTTAAATTAGGTTACAATCGTACTTAAAAAAAAAAAAAATAGTCAGGTTTACTCGGACTGGTCGAGCAAGAACGTGTTTCATACCCCAAATATTCACCAAAATCATTGGAACGGATCCGTGCGAGAATTCGAGCTCTCTTGTCATCTCTCTAACCCTGGCGAAAGCGAATATGTTCTTGATTGGAGGTGATGTCTAATAAAACTATTGAGTCGGAGCTAACATTGAACATTGCTTAGAAATTAGATAAAAGAGCCAACAGACACAAGCACTCACAATAAATTGTGAACAACAAAAAATCATTGAATTATCTTTAACATATTTTTATACGTTTATACAATTTCTAAAATTTCCCCAACGAAAACTGGGTTTCTTGGACATTAATTTTAAGCGTTTTGTGCTTAAAAATATTAATACAATACTAACTAGTAAAAAAAACATTCAAAAAATATTAAGACATATTAGAAAAAAAAAATACATTCCCCCTTGGCAACAATTTTTACACTCAGCTGCAACTTTCTTATATCATTTATTATAAGAAGTAAGATAATCGTTTTAAAACGCTCTCTTCTCTCTTTGCTGTGTTTGAAATCAAATTTTTCTAAAACCAAGCGAATAAACTCCGTTAGAAATTAGTGCACTGATTGCCAAATAGGTCACCAAAAATTACATAATAATTACGAAGAAGTGACAGCAAATATAAACAAATAGGCGCTTCTGGTTCTGGTTCAATTACAAATAAAACTAGAAATGCGATTTCAATTAATTAAAGCAAATGTTTTACTTACATCAGAAGGGAATCTTAAAAATAATTAATGCTAATTTTAATAAATCTAATAACTAATAGTTAATACGCTAAAGACGTTTAAAATTAAATCTGGATCGCGATGTAGAAAGTATTTTTTACTTTTGTATTCTTTAAGAAACGAGTTTATCTATTTATGGTACGCACAAACTCAGATTTTATAGAAGAGCTGATTTTCTTTTCGCTTTGTAGAAAAAGAAAATATTTGTGATCTTTTCTAGTTGGGTGTAGACACAGCTTATTATCACGGGAAATTTATATGGCGATGTTTTTATTTCACTTTCATCATAGTGTCAAAACGGATTATAATTTTCAAAACAATTAAATCTTTATCAATTTTACCATTACATTCCGTGTAAATATGATTTAGTAGAAAACTATCTATAACTATAACACACAACTGATGCCAGCGAAAGGGTCAGTTCGTAACCGTTATTCGATTACATAACAGAAATAACGTTGAAACACGTACGCTTCGAAATTCAATACCAACAGTGAGTGTTTGAGCCCTCAGAACATATAAAGCCTCGAAAGTATTTAGCTTTTCTTGCCTTAATAGCAATCTGAGAGTCTTCTAAGCGGCTGATTAAATTTATTTTTATTATAATTAATTTGCCTACAATAAAATATGCAAATAAGTAATGTCATTCTAGGTTATTATAGAGCTTTTTAAAGACTTTCGCAGTAATTTGTCTTATCAATATACTGATTCGGAATTCAAATTCTAATCAACATTTTCTTAGAGCGTTTTAAATATTTCACATATGTACTTGTGGCTCACACGGATGCGCCAAACCAATCGAGATTAATTTATAAAAATTATTAAAATCGTCGGCAGACGGCTATTAAATTCAGGGACTGCATATTTTTTAATTTCTATATAAGACCCTCGAGAAGTTTAGTATTGTAGTAGGAATTTTTTTTTATTATTTCTCGTCTTATTTATTGATCATAAAAAAATTAATAAGTTTACGTGCGACATAATAAAAGTCACAAAAATGAGCCGAACACACCCCTGAATAGCGGAACAGGAAACGTTAAAGTTGGTCGAAGTAAGTTTGTGCTTATTTTGAAAATAATAGCAGAGACCGTTAGATAGACGAATTTTTGCATAGCAAAAGTGGATTGAAAAGTTTATAATAGTAGAAAAAAGGTTAACTTTAGTTGCGCCACAGCTATAATGCCCATCAGAGGTGTATTACTTATAGCGTACAAAAAGATCTTTGGTTACGGACCGGATCGGGGACTTGTTTTTGATCGTTCAGTTTCTATTAACATTAAGAGATTAATGGCCCTTTCTTATACGGTTAAATGGCCCTTTTGTTTTCATCATATGACATCAATGGCCTGTTTCTTTACTTTTAGAAAAGTTCACAAGTTTTGTTTAAATTTAGCTACGTCCACAACCTCGGTTTACATTTTTTGTTCCATAACCCTATTGCTTACATTTCGCATAAATAATCCACAATCTTTGTTTGCATTAAGCTAAGTTAACAATCTTTTTTTATATTATGGAGTCAATGACCTTTTTGTTTACATTATGAGGTCAATAAGATGTTTGTTTAAACTTAGCCAAATCCACATTCTTTGTTTACGTACAGCCAAGTCAACAACCTTTCCTTACGTGTGGGGTCAATGATATTTCTTGCAATGGAACTTGATTTTGATCGGTTAGTTTGTCTAGCAGTTATGTACTATACTAGTCCGATTCGGATTTCATTATTCGGAGATTGAACCCTTGCCTTGTGCAATAATACATGCCACTTTCGTGAAGAATTCTAATCAAATTAAAAAGTTTTCCATACTAGCACTTGATTCCGATCGTTCAGTTTTTAAGGTAGCTACAATATTCTAGAATAGTCCGACATCGGAGGTCCCGACTAATGTTGAGCTTTTTGAGGAGATAGGGACGTGTGCAAAATTTCAGATCAATATCTCAAAAACTGAGGTACTAGTTTGTGTATATATGGACAGACAGATAGATATGGCTAAATCACCTTAACTCGTTACTCTGAGCATTGGCATAGCATCACAGGCATTAATAACATGCCTCCTCCATGCATACATAGTATTACCTACATACATACATATATACATAAATATGTGTATATATTTGTATAAACAACAAATCAATGACCATTTACATACATATGTACGAGGTGTGTTCAAAAAGTATCGCGAATTTTGTGTTTTTCAAAAATTATTTATTTATTCATGAATATCTATTTTGTCCCCTTCAAAGTAATCCCCATGAGATGTTATACACTTATGCCAACGGTTTTTCCAATCTTCGAAGCACTTCAAAAAATCATTTTTTTTTTTTTTATCTTCTTCAGCTCCTCTTTCGATGCCGTCTTTATCTCGTCAAGAGAAGCGTAACGTCGTCCTTTCATGGGCCTCTTCAGTTTAGGGAACAAGAAAAAGTCAAAGGCTGCCAGATCTGGGGAATACGGTGGCTGCGGCATCATTAGTGTGTTGTTTTTGGTCAAAARGTCGCKCACAAGCAACGATGTGTGAGC